CTGTGTGAGCCATGGCTGGGATGTGTGAGCCATCATTGGGGTGTGTGAGCCATCATTGGGGTGTGTGAGCCATCATTGGGGTGTGTGAGCCATCACTGGGGTGTGTGAGCCATGGCTGGGATGTGTGAGCCATCACTGGGCTGTGTGAGCCATGGCTGGGATGTGTGAGCCATCACTGGGCTGTGTGAGCCATGGCTGGGATGTGTGAGCCATCACTCCTCATGCTGGGGGATGTGTGAGCCATCACTGAGATCTGTGAGCCATCACTGGGGTGTGTGAGCCATCACTGGGATGTGTGAGCCATCGCTGGGGTGTGTGAGCCATGGCTGGGATGTGTGAGCCATCGCTGGGGTATGTGAGCCATCACTGGGGTGTGTGAGCCATCACTGGGGTGTGTGAGCCATCACTGGGGTGTGTGAGCCATCACTGGGATGTGTGAGCCATCACTGGGCTGTGTGAGCCATCACTGGGATGTGTGAGCCATGGCTGGGGTGTGTGAGCCATGGCTGGGGTGTGTGAGCCATCGCTGGGGTGTGTGAGCCATCACTGGGATGTGTGAGCCATCACTGGGGTGTGTGAGCCATGGCTGGGGTGTGTGAGCCATCACTCCCCATGCTGGGGGATGTGTGAGCCATGGCTGGGGTGTGTGAGCCATCACTCCCCATGCTGGGGGATGTGTGAGCCATCGCTGGGGTGTGTGAGCCATCACTGGGATGTGTGAGCCATCACTGGGGTGTGTGAGCCATCACTGAGATCTGTGAGCCATCACTGAGATCTGTGAGCCATCGCTGGGGGATGTGTGAGCCATCGCTGGGGTGTGTGAGCCATCACTCCCCATGCTGGGGGATGTGTGAGCCATCACTGAGATCTGTGAGCCATCACGGGAGGTTCGGAGCCGTCACCGCGCGGACCCTGCCCCGCTCAGGCTCCTGGCGTGTGTGGGGCTGTGTCAGGCTCCTGCCCTGTTCCAGAAAGGTTTGCTGTGTGTTCTGTGTTTGTTGCTGTGCCTGTTGAAGAGCTCTTGTCAGTGATGATTTCAGTACACTGTACTGCTGAACCTCACAGTTAGGTTAGCTCTGTTCCACAGCAAGCAGAGCTAGAATGCCCCAGCAACCACCAGGCATTCCCAGGTCGTTCTGCAGGAGTGCAGCAATTGGCCTTCAGTATTCTGACTGATGTGGTAGAATTGTTTAATGTAAAAAAATAAGCATTTTGATTTCTAATTTAAACTTGATGATAACAGGTGTCTGAAAGAAGATCCAGCAACAATGTCTTTGCTACAGAGGAGTCTGGATCCAGAGAAGACTTTGGGGCTGGTGGATGTGCTCTATACTGCTGTGTTTGATATACACAGGTGGAAGGAAGGAAGGTACATCTCTTTTCTAGTTCAAACTAAGCTGTCGTTGTTGAATAATTTGTGCTGAGGGGTTTGACAGTGCCATCTCATCAGAAGGGGAAAACAGGAGTCAGACTGAGAGTGAGACACTTAATCCCCATAGATGCCTTCTGGGTACATCCAGAGATACAGGAGACTGCTTAAAACCAAACTAGCAGCATATCTAAGGGTTTAAAAGTATTTGCTTCTCTCTTACAAAAGCACTTCATTTATATTAAATTGGTCTCCATTGAGGTCTTGAAGCACAACTAAAATTTAAGGAGTGGAAAGTATTGCAAATATGAAGAATAATTTGCTTTGTTACCATAAGAAATAGCTGGTGGACTTGGCAGTCTTTGGTGTTGTTTCTTTCTTGAGCTATTACTGCAATACACATTTTCCTCAAAGTCCAAACCCAGTTATGTATTAGGTGGTTTGATATACGTGTTTTTGTTGATGCAGGGAGCAAGCTTTGCCTTGTATTCAGATCCAGTTACAGCGTGAAATCTCAGAATTTGGGAGCCAGGTTGACATGCCACCGGGGAATGGAAGCAAATCTTCAGGGGGGCTGCAAAAGACATTCTCCAAACTGACTTCACGGTTTACAAAAAAAACTTCCTGCGCTAGTACAAGTAACACAGGAAGTTACTCAATCCCCAATACACCTTCCAAAAACGTCTTCATAAGTTCCAGCTCAGAGGAGAAAGCTAAAATGCCCACGAGCATGGACGCACGGCTGCAGAACATCCTGAACATGGGGAGCTTCCCTCGGAGCGCGGATGCCCTGCAGGCAGCGCAGAGCACCAGCAACCCGCTGGCCAACGGCTTCCTCGTGGAGAGGCGGGACAGCTTCTTCAAAGCAGATGATGGCAAGGATGACAAAGGTATGAATTTACCAACTGACCAAGAAATGCAGGATGTTATAGATTTCTTGTCTGGTTTTAACATGGGCAAATCCCAGCAGACTTCTCCGCTGGTGAAAAGAAGGAACTCTGTTGCATCCTCTACAGCAGCAGAACAGAAGTCGGGAGCAGTTCAACAGCAGCCGCAGTCTGTGTCTCACACCCCGCTGCACCCTCCTCAGCAAAGCTTGTCCCAGCAGCAGTCCCAAAAGCAGCAAATGCAGTATTACCAACACCTGCTTCAACCTATTGGACCACAGCAACGTGTACCTGCCAAATGGCTCAGTAACTCTTCACAGCAGCAAGCTCCGGCTGTTGGAGCTGGGTTGTCTCATATAAATCAATGGAACAATCCTGGTTTTTCAGATTTAAGCTCTGATTTGTACAGCTTGGGTCTTGTGAGCAGCTATATGGACAATATGATGGCAGAGATGTTAGGACAGAAACCACAAGGACCTAGAAACAACACGTGGCCAAATCGTGACCAAACTGATGGAGTGTTTGGGATGCTGGGAGAAATCCTGCCTTTTGACCCTGCAGGTGTGTGTCTTTTCCTTTATTATGCTTTTTGTGAGGGTTCTTTGTAAAAGAATACTGTGACTATTGCTGGCAATAACTGTCATTTCCCTGTGCTGCCCACTGGATGTAAGGGTGCTGACCAGTGCAAGCAGGGATTTGTGTGTGTGCTAATTTGCTTTTTTAACAGGAGGTGATCTTAAAACTCTCATTAATAAGTAAGCATGGAAACCAATTCCTTGTTTCTTGTCCCAGTTGTGGTAGTCTGACCTTTCCTATATGGAGCACACCAGAGTACTGAAAAGATACTTACAGATGATGTTCTTCCTATACTTAGTTTGTAAAATTGTGTAAAACAAACTCTTCAACTCAAGTGTGTTCCCTCTCCTCAAAATTATTCTTCCTGTTACCTGGAGATACAGCTGGGTTGCATCTTTCCCATATCCCCACATTTTCCCTGCATTGCTCCCCAATTCCCTGGGAGTCAAACTGGTTCCTGTTCCACAGCTGTAGGTTCTGCAGTGAAAAGTTTGGATGTCAAAGGATTAGAGACTAAAGAGCAAGTGCCATGAGGTTTGCCACATGTGTTTGGACCACCAATAAATTGTAAATACAGATTAATTAAGATAAAATTTTAGAGTCATAAATATCTCCAGACCAAGAAACTGACTGTGGAATTTAAGAGGAGATGAATCCCCATGTGGGTCATTGACTTGAGAGCTGGACTTGATGATCCTTGTGGGTCTCTTCCAACTCAGAGTATTCTGTGATTGTGAGATTCTGATGGTGGTATTAAGAACAACTTACACAGCTGCTGCCTTGTAAATGTGACTTCTGTTGGCCTGGAACACAGCTGCAGGAATGTTGGAGTGTGCATTTATGGCAGCTGCCTGAGGGAGGAGCAGAGAACAGGGAAACCTTTCATCAAAGCAGGGCTCAGTTTCCCGGGCTCATTTGCACTCGTCTGTGTTTGGAATGTGTGGGTGTCTTAAACCAGCTCCTTTGACTCATAATTATGATAGTTATCTTGTCAACTTCCTTGATTAATTAGTGGAGTTTCTATGGCAAAAGTAGCCACCATAGTTACGTTGTTGCTTAATAACTGTAAGTCTGAATTAGCATCATCTTAGTTAAACAGACTGAGGGTATAGACTTAAGGATTATCACAGCCTCTAAGGAAGGACAAAATTATTCTCAGCAAGCACTAAGTCCATGTGTGTGGAGGGAAAAGAAAGCAGGTATGCAAAGGACTGGTATTCTCAGCATTTAAATCCATTCTCTTTCTGTAGTATTTTCCTTTAGCTGTACAAAAAACTACTTGTGTTGTTCCATTTGATGAATGTCAAGGATGCAGAAAGTGGTGCTTGGAGAGGGTGACTTACCCAAGGTCCATAAATGGTGCTCAGTGGATTAGGATACACACTGCTGCAGTTGTAGTGATAAGTAAAACCAGAATTTTTCACAGATCTGGCATTTAAAAAACCAAAACCAAACAAAAATCCTTCCAACTGAATACTCTTCCACTAGAAAGAACTTTTCTTCATAGAACTTGCCAGGTTGAGCTGTGGTGTAGAAATTTACATTTTAAGCTTTAGTGTTGTACAAAAAGCTGTAAACCAGAACACTGTTTTTCATTTCCAGGGTTTCCTAGGACTGGACATTTCTCATTTGAAACAAAACACATTACTTTCTTGATAAATACTTTCAGAGTCTGAAAATGATGTCTCTCTTCAGATGCAAAACTGCTGATTAAGAATTTATAAAATTGAAATTTATGGCTTTTCATGTTAAGGACCTAACTAGTCCCAACAATGTATTTTGTAGTATTTAGTCATCACTAAGAACCTGATGAAGGAATGTTGCAATAAGAACTTCGTAATAGAAGGAATGTTGGGAACTCCAATCTTTTGCTATCTGATAAAAACCTGCTCACCTGATGTTTTCAGTGAGGTAAAAATTACCACAAGCTTCTATTTTGAATATACCAGCACTTTAGAACTTAATGCTGTCCACAGGTAAAAAAGCCTGGATATCCTTCAGAATCCATCTAGACTCTGTTCTTAGATATGAGGAACTGTCTGGCTTCCAGCCTCATCTTAAATAGACATAAAGGTATTTCAGAGGGAGAACAAGCACCACTGGGGATGTTTTGTTCCTAGATAGCTCTCAGATAGCCCTTGCTTAGTAAAGGAGGCAGAGAAACAAAGTTTTCTTCATTGTCTATTTAATTTGCATTCAGCAAAACATTGTGAAGGTCTTTTCTGGATGTGTCAAAGGAGAACAAGGAAACACAACCTCTAAATGCAGGATTGAGTGTAGGGAGCTGTCAGATGCAAGGTCTCTGCTTTGTGAGCTGTGCAGGATTGCTGGATGTTCTTCATCTCCATCTCCAGCTGAGACTGGCAAGCCAGCAGCTCAGTGCTTCCCACTGCAATCACTGTGAATGTAGTCTAGACATTTTCCAGAAATCCAGTCAGATTGCCAAGTGTTTTTCTCAGGGAAGAAGAAAAGGCAAAAGAAAGAGAAGCTGTGGAGACTCAGTTAGTGACTCATTATCAGCAGCCTTTTGAATACAGCAATTGGTTGCTCTGATCAATGGAGCATTTGAAACACTTTTGGATTAAGGCTTTTGCTGTGTCTGCTCAAGACTGTGCTTATTCCTTATTGGATACTTGGGACACAAAAAGCATGTTGAGAATGGAAGAATTTTTAAATTACTCGGTTTTTTTCTGTAAATATAATTCTTATTCTGAAATATTTTGTAATCAGAATCAGAATGTTTTCAGAATTGTCTCATCCTTATAGGACTGAGGCAGTTTTGGTGCTCTGTGTTCTGTGTTCTAGTATGATCCAAGCAGGATCACAACATAGCTGGAAACCATGTTGCACTGTGGTATCAGCTACAGTAACCGTTCTGCTCTTTTTCACATGTGTGCAGAAATGTGCAGTGTCCATTTCATCAGTGTCTCTGATACTGGACCTTTCAGCACAGACAGGATCATAGTACAAACACGGTTTCCCTGGTGGAATGCAAGGGGCAGGTGTACTCCCATGTGATAATTATTACCCACCCTGGATGCTGTGTGTCTCATCTTTGGAAACATTTCCTGTTCAGAGTTCTCCACTGCTCCATGCAGACCCATGCACTGCTGGCTGCCATTTATCATCAGGGAGGGGATTTCTGTGGTGTGGGGTATGGTCAGACCTGAAGCACTGAAGTGCAGCAGAAATAGCCGAGTGTCAGCAAGGATTTGTTGTTTCTTTCCTTCAGTTGGCTCTGATCCAGAGTTTGCTCGCTATGTGGCTGGGGTGAACCAGGCTATGCAACAGAAGAGGCAAGCGCAGCACGTCCGGCGCCCGAGCACCGCGCGCAGCAACTGGCCCCTTCCTGATGATCCCCACAAAACCTGGCCCTTCCCTGACTATTTCACAGAGGGGTAAGAACTGCACAGGCTGCATGGTTTATTGTGGAACTTGGTTTTGCACCCAGACTTGGCAGAATGTGGGAATACTGGGGTTTTTTCAGTTGTTGCTGCATCTGTGAAAGCACTTCACTGTTCAGAGGAGCAATGTGGCCCTGCCTGCTTTGCTGATCCCAAGGCACTGACATGCCTGACGTCATCCTTGGAGTGGCATGGAGACTGACTGGGACTCCCAACAGAGGAAATAAGGAATCTATAGCACAGATGTATTCAGGAGAGTTTTCTTTGTGTACTTTGAAAACAGCTTTAAGACCTAGTTTTGATGAAAAGTGATGCTATCAAAGTTGTGGTGCCTGATTGAATTTGGTTTTCCAGATTTTAGCCACTTAATCCTGCTACTAAAAGGCAGGTACAGCAGGTACATTTGTAGTTTTTAATATCTCCCAAATCATAACTATTTACTACACAAGAAGTGTTTCAAGATTCTCTGTCTATTTGTCCATAATGTAAGAGCAGTGAGTCTCTAGTGTAAAACCAGTATGGAAATGTGTTCTAGCTCAGTTTGGCAGTGAAAAAGTCAAGTACTTAATGATTCCAAACCCAAGCATCACTTGTTTCTCCTTCCTGAACAGAAGAGGTGCTTCTAATTGGTATAATTATTGTAGTTAAATAGATCTAAAGAGGCTGTAACAGACAGAGCAGTTAATGTGACCACTCAGAACCAGTGAAAGTACTTGTATTACTGTTTTACCAAGTGCTGCAATGTTGTGCTCTGAGGTATCACCTGGGACAAAGATTCAGCACAACTGTGCCACATAGTCTGGGCCAGGCACAGTAAATACAAGGACTAATACAATTTCTGTCTTGCAGTGATGTGACAAACAGCTGGTCTGGTACTCAAGGGGACTCTGCCAGCTCAAGTGATGAGACCTCCTCAGCTAACGGAGACAGTTTGTTCTCCATGTTCTCAGGGCCAGACCTTGTTGCTGCTGTAAAGCAGAGGAGGTGAGCAAAATGAACAGACATGGACCACTTTGGAAGATTCCTTTTGTTTATATGTGATTTCATTTGAGTAGCAAAGGAAATTCCTGGAAATGAGACAAGTCTGCACAAAGATGAGTTTGTGTGCTACACTGGTGATGTGAGCTGTATTAGCAGCTTTCTCCTGGTACAAACCAGCTCTGTGCAAACAGCCAGCCCTTCACTGAGGCTCCCTATGGCTAGGAAAGACCTGGTGCTTTCCTTCTTGCATGAGAGTAGCATGAGATGCTGCTTCCTGCAGCTTTATGAGATCCTCCCTGGTTCTGTGGAGGGCCTGCCTGCAGCTGGGCCGTGCCTGCCGTGGTGGGTTTGGGTGCCTTGGCTGCAGCCCGTGGCACTGGGAGAAGCTGCTGCTAACCTGGTGTGCACCTCTCAGCTCGGCTGCTGCTGCTGTTCTGGGAGTGGGAAATCCACCCCTGCTTCGTCCTCTGCTTCTCACAGTAGGAAGAGAAGGCCAAATTGCCTTTGTAAATAATTTCAGTAATGGAAAAACCAAGCCAGGATTTTCAGCTATGAACAGGCCACTTCTGTCAGTGGTGTGAATTACAGCAATTCTGCTTTTCTAAAGGGCTGGAGGCTCGGTGGAACCTCAGTGATTGCACAGCAGAGGGTAGTCAGAACAATAGTAACAAAAGGCACAAGATGAAGCATGAATACCAACCCAATTCCAATCTGGAATTGTTCTCTCAAACTATTTTTCGGTCTTTTCTAAAAATGAAATAAGTGGCCAAATATTTGTTTACAGTCACAGAGTAATTTGGAGTCAATACATGGATACAAGATTGTCTGTCTGCTTTTTGGTGAATGAAAGAAAAGTCAGTGCCAGTTTCTCACAGATTCTACCTGGACAGCTATTTTTGTATGCATTACCAGAAAGGAATAAGAGTAGCTACTTCCTGAATCTTTACACTTAGCCAAGACTTCATTGGGAGGGAACAAAAATTGAGCTTCAGTAAATGTTAAATTGAAATTAATGGGAAAGAACCATCTCATAAACAGTCACAGAAAAAATAGTAATTACTTGTATTTAAAAAAAAAAAGCAGGGAAGGAAAACAAACACATAAGGGTGACTTAACATGCCAAGCCAGTAGATAGCTAGAGACTGATCATGGAGCAGGAAGAAAAGCCTGTGGTTTATGTAGTGCTCTAAAGGGCAGAAGAAAGTGTCCACAGAGGGTTCTTCACTGAGCAAAACCTCAGCTGAAGTAACAGTACTGCTGCTGTCTGCTGTCACTTGTAGGAAGAGCAGTGCTCTGTAGGTCAGGGCCTGACAACATCCCAGAGCTAAAGCTGGGCACTAAGAGGAGGCAGAAGGGCTGGGTGTGCTAAAGGTGACCTGCAAAGGGCTGCTCACCTAGGAGAGCCTGATTGGAGCATGCTGATTGGGGTTTTTACAAAAAGGATGAAATAAAAGATTCTGCTTTAATCTAAACCCATGCCCTTAATTGCTCTTCCTAAAAAAACCTAACCAATCAAACAAAAAAGACCAAAAAATCCAAGAAAAAAAATCTTCCAGAATGCACATGTGGTCAAGGGCTTCTATTTGCTAACTAGGTATTAGGTCACAAATTTAAACTGAAGGTAGAATATTTTTTTCAGTAAAATTACTGTGCTTCAGCAGATGTTTCACTTCCTCAACTGGTGTTTTGTCTTATCTGTAAGGCTATTTCAGAAAAGATACTTTAAAAAATCAAAAGAAACCTAGCTACAAGAGCAGGTAACAGAAGAAAAACCACAATTTCTGGCAGATTTCTTGAAAGTGGGCAAAAGTCTATCCCAGGTTCCTTTCACCTCTACAAAAATGTTGAAACTGTAGCTCCATGAACTACTGCATTGTCATGTCCCTGACAGTTTCTGTATTGTTGCTTTTACCTGTACTGAACAAAAAGTACATGAAACCAGATGTTTCTGAAAACTGATCTATGCCAGTGGCAGATTAATGAGGGTGGCTCATGTAAAACCAACAAGTCAATGTGTCTCTCTTTGTGGCAGAAAACACAGCAGTGGTGAGCAGGACCCCAGCACGCTGCCATCGCCTCCCCTTCTCTCTGCAGCAGATGACCGCAGTCAGGTGAGCTCCGTGGGGCTTGGCTCAGTCCCTTCTGCTGCTGCCATTTGGGGTGGCTCTGCACCAGGCAGTCAACTGGAAAAGCATCTGTACCTCCAGATTGCTTACTGCAGTGAAAACCCAAACCTTCTGCACTCAATAGTGTGAGGTGCTTTGGTCAGCCACCAAGCTGAATATATTAAAATTGGAAGTCATTTACTTTTTCCCTTTCAGTGGGGCCACTGTGTGTCAAGCTGAAGTAAATGGTTATTAACAGGCAGATATTTTAAGAATTGATAGTGCTATATGTAGGCATCAGTTCAGCTTTTGTCAGACATCTTTTATGAAAAATCCTTTTTTTAGGATTTTTCCTCCTGAGAAGCTGAGAGGCCTCAGGAACAAAATGTAACCAATGGTTATCTGCTGCTGTGGAATGCAACAGGTGTAGGCTCATGTGGTTGTTTTTAATTAATGGTCAATCACAGTCAGCTGGCTTGGACTCTCTGTCTGAGCCACAAGCCTTTGTTATCATTCCTTCTTTTCTATTCTTAGCCAGCCTTCTGATGAAATCCTTTCTTCTATTCTTTTAGCATAGTTTTAATATAGTATATATCATAAAATAATAAATCAGCCCTCTGAAACATGGAGTCAGATCCTCGTCTGTCCCCTCATCCTCAGACCCCTGTGAACACGGTCACAGGCTTTCAAATATAAGCTAATCTTGTGACAATATTATCTCAAGGAGGTGATAAGGTGACACGTTCAGTATTGTCTCAAAGCAGCAGCGTTCTGTTGTTAAACCAAAGCACCCCAACCCATTTTGTTTTCTCAGGATAACAAGACCAAAACGTGGCCTCCCAAGGCCCCGTGGCAGCACACGTGCTCCGTGCCCAGCACGCTGCCCAGCCAGAGCACGTCCCTGTACCCCATGAGCAGCCCTGTCAGCCAGTGGAGTGACACCATGCAGATGCTGCAGTCGCCCCTGTGGGCCAGCGAGTGCGGCCCTGCCGCCGGCCTCTCCTCCAGCTTCGCCTACGCCCAGCAGCAGCAGCAGCAGCAGCAGTCCCAGCAGGCTTCCCAGCACAAACAGATCAACAAGGGCTTTAAATCCTTCCCAGTAAAGCACGAGCGCAGACCATCCTACCTGCACCAGTACTGACTGCTGCTCCTACTGCAACGTGCAGCACAGGGCCAAATGGAATGACATGACTTTGATTCACAGTGCTGTGCTGGCTATATCCTGTTTCTCTCTCGATGTGGGATTGAGGGGGTCTAGGGGAGATAGACAAACTCTTGGATTCTGAGTTACAGTGCTGGCCAATATGTTTGGTGTACATGAAACAGCCCAAAACTGTGATGTAGAAATGCTTTTAAAAATGTGTAATTGCCTTTACTTTCAAGACATTTTTTTTTTCTAAAAAGAACTGCTGAAGGACTACCATACAAGAAACACTGTATTTTATAGCTATTTTTCATATAGATTTATAGTTAAAACATCTTACTGAAACACATTGAATATGTTGAAGCAAATATATAGTGGTCACTTTGCTCAACACTGTTTGTGTTTAAATTTATAAAGGACAAGCTGTAGAACCTTTGTATTCTCCATTACAGCCTGTGGGCAGCTTTTTTACAATGAAGTGCAGCAGCGGCTTTTCCTGTGCTACACAAGCGAGTTCATTTGGGAACTGCTGCAGAAACAGTCACAAAACTGAGTTTTGTGGCAGTTTCCTTCCTGTAGGTGAAGATCAGCAGAAGCACTCAGCCTTGTGTCAACGTGACCTGAGCTGCTTGACATAGATGGCACCTCTGTGGACAGAGGGACCCTGGCTCTCACACACCTGTGTGGACAGAGGGACCCTGGTTCTCTCACACATGTGTGGATGGACAGAGGGACTCTGGTTCTCACACACCTGTGTGGACAGAGGGACTCTGGTTCTCACACACCTGTGTGGACAGAGGGACTCTGGTTCTCACACACCTGTGTGGATGGACAGAGGGACTCTGGTTCTCACACACCTGTGTGGACAGAGGGACCCTGGTTCTCTCACACATGTGTGGATGGACAGAGGGACCCTGGTTCTCTCACACATGTGTGGATGGACAGAGGGACCCTGGTTCTCTCACACATGTGTGGATGGACAGAGGGACCCTGGTTCTCTCACACATGTGTGGATGGACAGAGGGACTCTGGTTCCAGACACCTGTGTGGACAGAGGGACCCTGGCTCTCACACACCTGTGTGGATGGACAGAGGGACCCTATTCTCACACACCTGTGTGGACAGAGGGACCCTGGTTCCAGACACCTGTGTGGATGGACAGAGGGACCCTGGTTCCAGACACATGTGTGGACAGAGGGACCCTGGCTCTCACACAGACCCTGTCCTATGGCTGCATTTGGCCACAGGCACTCTCCACAAGGTGCTCCTGCAGTGTGTGAAAGCAAAGCCTAAGAGACTACTTGCATTTATTTAAAGTCTTATTTCAGATGCTACAGTTGATTAAAAATTGTGAGCTGGCTCAGAAGATAGTAAAACTGAAATGTGGGGTAGCAGTTAGTTAAAAGAACATTATTTTTTTTAAAAGGATAAAGTAATTATTTGCAGTCAATATGTGCCATTAAGTGAACCTGTGGAATTAGGAATAATCTTCCAACCAAAGTGGATGGGGGTGAGTGACTGGTGCTTACCAATTCAAGAACAATGGTAAATATGTATACCTATCCCACTGTATATGAATTGAGATTACAGAAGATTCTTTATATAGTTAGAGCTTATTTAAATTTTCATATTTCATCTTTGAAAGAGTCTAAAAACCACAATATTTTCTGGTATAAGAGTTTTGACAGTATTAATCTTATTTTTGTATTTTTCTTAAGTCATATCATTCTAATATGTTAACTACTAGTAAAATGGGTTCTTAGTTCTAACTACATAATTTTTCAATGAAGATAAAGCACATTTTTTGGTTTTGGTTTTACAAACTAAGTACATCTATATCTGAAGATACCAAAAAAGAAATACATGATATATATATATATATATATATAAATAAAAAGTATACACAACACTAAAACTATTAAACATTTGGGTATTTAAAACCCATCCACCTTTTTTGTTTGTATGGTGACGGGCTCTATTTGCAGGCCCAGATTGTTACCTTTTGTGCTGTTTGAGGATGCCAATGTTGCCTGTATTTATGATATTGTCACCATGTTTTCTGAAACTTCATACTTACCATGTTTACAAAGATTTGTTTGCTGTACATAGACTTTTTACAGTAATGTGCTTTGCACAATCAGTGTGGCTTCTGTCTGTAAATTGTTAATGGTCTGTACTACTATAATTTTGAAAACCTTCCACTGAAAATGTTAGTGGTTATTTAACTTCATGAATGGTTTCGAGTTTCCTAAATCTTGTTGTTTAGATCTAATATTAAACCCCAAATTTGGTTGTACTTACTTGGTTATTCATACTAAGACCAAAATGGAAGTTAATGAAAACAACTTAATTTTGAACTTTTTTTCTAACAAGTGCCAAAACGATTGCTCTAGTTTTTGCAGTTTATTCATAATTACAAATGCTGGCAAGTTTCTGGACCTACATAAGTGAATTGTGAACACAAAGAAAGTTTGTCTGCATTTTGACCACGTGGGTGCTACTCTGTCCTTTGCTTCCGATTGTTCTGAACACTGGTAATTTTAAGAATTGTTGCACTTGGCAAATGAGTCTTGCCCTTAAACTTCACTTACACTGCCAAGTGCAAGGGTTTGGTGCTTAGTTAACTTACCCTTATTGCAGTGCTTCTTGTGAATAGCTAATGCTTCTGAACTGGAACTGTACAGTTTGTATTTTAAAGCTTCTGTAAAAGTAAACTATTTGCTTTATTAAAGATATACATTTAATAGGTCATACCTGTTTAAAATATGCACCTTGCTGAAAATGAGCAGCACCTTAAACTGTAACTTCGGTTTGTAAACAAAGATCTTATTACATTAACATGGGATTATTTAACAGTTTGAAAATTGTCAACTGCCTACTTACTGACTCTATCATATAAAAATGAACTTTATGCACAGTCCAATCTTTAAAGGTGCTTTCTCAGGTGGTGTCACAGAAGAATGTGGTACAGACAATGCTTCAGCAGGGGCTGTGAACCGGTAGTGCAGGTAAACATTGCCAAAATCATGATACTCACATTTTTAGGAATCAGAGTCAGTAACTTTGATGGTAGCAAGCCAAAACTTAAATCTGTCCCCCTCCCTGCTGTGACCAAGGCTATTAGGTTAGTATGTGTTAACTGTGGCACTGGAATGCCTACGCAGGGGGTGCAAAACTTTCTTCCTTACTGGATAGGAGCACACATGCATGCAGCTGGCCAGCAGTGCTGACAGTACCCAGGAAACACACGAACCCGTTCTGATTATGCAAGAATTGAATTGTTTACAGAGCATTTCAGGCACAGAGAAAAAGCCTTAATAAACTTGGGCAAAAGCTTGGTTTCTCCCTTAGACGTAATTTCTGAGTGGTGTGGCAATCCTACCAGTCCTAGGAAAGTTAACATTTCTGTTTGACTAAATCACGGAGCAGCTCTTTTGCTAATGTATTCTATTAATTCAGAATATACTGCAACTTACAAAGAACATATTTAGTTTATTTAGCACAATTGTTCTGATACAGGATACAAGAGTTTACTGCTTTTATAGATGGAACACATGCCCAACTTTGTCATGTTGGAGGGAGGAGTCACCTAGAGTAACATTTCCCTTGTCATTATAGAATCTGACTCATGAAATGGGCTCTGCTTCCCATAGTGCTGTCTTGACAACCAGGCTATTCCCAGAAGTACACTGAATTGAGTTTTTCAGAGGGAAAAAGGAATGTGATAATTATCATTCTTAAGCTGTGTTAGTTACAGTAACAGGGGAAAAGCTGGCCTAATACTACACTGAAAACTACCGTCACATTTTAAATACAGAAGTACAGATCATTTTTTACCTGCTTTTTCAAACCCACACCTTCTTGGTTTTCAAAGCAGGACTCTAAACTATTTCTACAGCCTCTGAAAGCAGCACTGCTCACGTCCAGGTATTGCTGTCAGTCTACAGGCTTCTGCGTCCTGGGCGGGGTGGCATCAGCAATTGTAGCTAAATAAATGAGGTTCCTGTGCAGGATATGCTGGTACCTGTGAGAGGAGGAAACACAGGATCTGGGAGAGGTTCTTTTCTAGACAACTACCCATACTTGCACTCCTGTACTCTAATCAGTATTTGCAGTTAGGGAAAAAGAAAGCAAACTAGAATAATAAATCAGGGGAAAATTAGTGTTCTTCTCATTCTGAAGCCCGCTCTAAGGCACTGAGCTGCACTCGGTAGCCGAGCATGTGCTACTGCCCAGCTTCGATGGGAAGGAGGGCACTGAGCTGGCAGCCCGACAGCCGCAGAACGCAGCGGAGCGGGAGTTCAGAGCTGCCTGCCGGGCGGGTCTGAGCAGCCGCACCCTCCCCGCAGGGGCCGGAGGAGCAGAGCGGGCCCAGGAGCACTGGGCAAACACCCTGACCAAGGCGGCGGGGACCATCCGTGCTTAATACGTCTCTGCAAATGATTCTGGGGAAACCCCTTCGTGAGCCCAGCCGCGTTTTCCTCGTGGCGGCCGGAAAGCTCCAGGAGGAGCCCAGAGCTGGCCCCCCGCGCTCCGCCCTGCCCACCCGTCGGTGTCGGTCACTCACTGCACGCAGTCGGTGGCGCGGCCCTTGTTCTGGTACTCCACGATGCACCGGATCAGCTGGTCGTTCTCCTCCAGCAGCTGCGGCACAGACACCGTCACCGCCCGCCCCGGCCGGCTCTGCCCCAGGCGGCCCGGAAGGGCTCGCTCTCGGCCCAGCCCCGGCCCCGGCCCAGCCCCGTGTCGCTCACCCGCTGCAGCGTGTCCTGGTTCACCTCGGCCGCCCCGCGCAGCCGTTCGGGCACGAACGCCACGGACATGGCGGCTGCGGCTGAGGGGATCCCGGCCCCGCCCCCGGGCCGCGCACGCGCCGCCGCCGCCGGGAGCGCCCGAGCCCCGCCCCGCCCGCCCCGCGCAACAAAGGAGCGCCGCCGTGCCGCTTGTACTGAACAGTTTATTCTGGTTTAAAATAAAAAAACAGAAAGCCTGGGCGGGCCGGCCGGGCCGACGCAGGGTTTATTTACCCCCGGCCGCGCCTCCCGGCCCGGGTATTTACAGCTGGAACACCTCAGACAGTAAAGAGTTATTGCAACAGGACAGCACTTGCCTCTACGGTCAAAAATCTCAACAGGTGTTCAGAATCGTGACTTGTGGATCCCAAAAGGCAGTTGTTAAACATGCAAAAACATTACTAAACAATATTATCTAACTTCTACGGCTGTCAAATACTTGACCTTAATAAGGAAACCAATTACAAAATACTTCCTTGTAGTGCTATACAAAAGTTATAAAATTAAGATTCTATCAACCACTTTTAAATATTCCAATTTTTCAACAGTGCAGTTTTTCACGTCTTTATCACCACTGAACATTCTGAAGTAAAAAAAAATAAATCAGCAAATTAGATCAAAGTGATGTAATCTTTGGATCCCTTTATTCCTGTGGCCTTCATATACATACACAGACACAAATGACCAGGTTTCTATTTCAGCATATCAGAAAGTTGCAACTAGTTATCCAGAATTGGCAAAAAGTCCGTACTGTCATTTGTGACTTCGTGGTCTTAGAACCAGAGTCTCAATGTCTCCAAGCTACGGTCTATCAAAATGCAAACAACTTCAAACACTAAGAATTCTTTAAATTGCTCATGTCTACAGGTATTACAACAAAGTTAACGTTTCAAGAATTGACAATGGAGACAGACTTTTATCCCAGGCATTCCAGGAGAATCACCAACTCGTGTGCCTGGTCCATTATTAAAAAAAGTTAATATTTCTCACTAAGTAAAATTAATTGCAAATCTTGACATATGAAAATTCCTTTTCTCCTTTTTTTGAAAATATCTCCTTAACTTGGT